TAGTTCAGTAAAAGTCTGGACAGACAGAGAGATCTATTTATGGACTATCTATATAGATAGTGAGGCGGATGTTACATTTCTGGGCTTATAGAGGAAACCGCTTCAAAGCCAATACCCAGGAGGTCCTTGGGGACTCTTTCTCTCTTGGTTCTGAGCTCTGGTTGTGTGTGTCTGTATGAATAAAAGGGATACTTGCATGCTGAGTCATGAGTGGCAGGGGTTTTCTTTCTTTTAAATGCCACTTAAGACTCCGACATTTTTAGCAAACTTTGAGAAATAATCTTTTCACAGAGTTTACATTCCTTCACTTTGTACCCTCCCTTGGGGACGTTAAAGAGCGATAAACACATCTAAAGCCTCTCCAAGAATATATTAACATATCCTCCTTTCACTCAATCCCTCCAACTAACACTGCCTCTCTCCCCATTTTTGTTTTTCTTTTTACTAATCCCCCCCCCTTCCTTTTTTCTGTCAATCTCCCTCCTCTTTCGCCACCAATTGTCACTTTCTCCACCTTTTACAAAGCGCAGTCTACCCACATTGTAAGGAGGTTTACAAGCGTGAAAAAAAATCAGAAACAAATCAAGTAATGAACATTACATCTCTTTCCTTTTTCTTTTCTTGCATTCACTTTCCCTCTTTGTTAATTTAGAGAGCTTAATTGGCGTGATAATACTTTTGAAGCCAACAAACAACAACAAAATAGAAATGGAATGTAATTACTTTCAACAGTTGACTTTCTCGCTCTGCTCCGTGTGTGTGTGTGTGTGTGTCTCTGTGTGTGTGTAGCTGCAATTGTGCAGTGTTTACCGTACTCTGCTATTTGAATAGTTTTTGTGATGCCATTATTTGTGTGTTGTACCATAACCATTGTAACCATAAGCTTTGTTTACACTGTCACAAATGTCTGTCTAACACCAAGCTCTTAAGCGAGATGTTTTCTTCAAAAGAACTGCTTTCTTTTCTTTCAAGTGATTAATTTGCAGAACAGGTCTTGAGCTAAGTGATTGCTGTCTTGACTCTCTCGGTTCTCTTTACTGTGTGTGGCTAAATTTACCTCAGTTTGTAGTGTTTTTACAAACCATTTGTATAAAAAGACAAAAAATTAAAAGTCTCCTCCTTTTTTTTATCCACCTGTCTCTCCATCTCTAGACCAACATCCCGTTCCTCCAGAATGTTCTGTCCAACCACCAGTTCCTCCACTCCACCGTGGACACCCAGTTCATCGATGAGAACCAGGAGCTCTTCAACCTCAAACCTACTCAGAACCGAGCCCAGAAACTACTGCACTACCTGGGTCAGTGTATAAACCACACACACACACACACACACACACTCACATTCAACAGAGGTGGAACATTACAAATCAACTTAATGAGTCAAACTGTTTTACCCAGTTCAGTTCTACGATTTGCAGGCACTATTTTTTAAGTTAATTGGCCACTTCACTGGTCAAATGGTGTGACTTTACAGCGGTGTCTCTTATATTTCAGTTCATTTTGTTGCTGGCTGTAACTGTTATTTTACATTTAGTACTAAACTATGCCTATATAGAGTCAGTGGTAATTATGAGGTCAATAGTTCACCAACCACCTACCTACTATAATTCCACGATTTTTATTTTATTTTTAGCTATTAATCAGGAAGTAACACGCTGTTTATAACAACTGAGCTGACCATTGCGATTTCACTGAGGGGACTAATGCAAAAAAGGAGACAGCCAACACAACCTTTCAACCTTATACCAACTATTCAGGTTATTATAGTTAGGAAATAATATTTCAAGAGGTAAAAAGTGCTGAGCTGGTTTGCATATGTCTTAAAATTCAAACCATTGGTGTCTAACCAAAGAAAAAGGTATCCCTGCTCTTCGGTGTGTACACCATGCTCAAAGATAAATGTATTAGCTTTTAAGACCTTAAGTTAAAATATGGTTTGCTGTTAAAGATGTGTTGGTACATGTACTGAATACTAATACACAAATATGTGACCTTAACCCTAAAGAGCCTCAGGGCTGCTTTTTTAAAACCCTAATTACATTAGATATATTGCATATATGTATATATGCATCTGACTTGTATTCTCTATTTTCTCTATTTTCACACTTGTATCCAGGTCATGTGATGGTAAATGGACCAACCACGCCCATTCCAGTCAAAGCTAAGCCTTCGTCCACAGATCCTGTCATCCCTCCTGTCACCATGGGTAAGTCAGCCAAATGCAATTCAGCCAATCACAGTGCATAGTTCACCCTTTATCACACATTATTCTGCTAACCCAGTCACAACTTCTAAGTCACCTTCTTTATTCAACTATGAAAGTAAGATTTTAAACCCCACTAAAAACATTAAAGGCAGTATCTTCAGTTGGGCTTCAGCAATGAAATAATTAAAAAACCTGTGTTTACACAGTGTACTTCTTTGTATAGGGCAAGGTGTCAACAAGACCAGCGACGGATAATTGAATACTATATTAAACCTATAAAAACAAGTGTTGTGTCGCTAGAAAATGTTGTGGACTGTTACCATAATAACGTCACAATGCATCATCCTTATTGCATTTATTACATTTGGACTAATTTAGCAAAGCACTGCCACTGCAAGGGTGAGAGGTTTCATTTCCCCTGGGGCACCTATGCTAAAAATGTAAACACTTGTGGATCCGTAGGGCACTTTGGATAAAAGCACCCTGCAAATGACAAATGGGCTGTCGAACAGTCTGATAGCTGTAGGCGGAAAAGCCTTCCTAAATGGCTCAGTTTAGTACTTGGGGAGGAGAAGGGGTTTTGGCCCAGAGTGCTCTGTTGAGCTGTGAGTACAGCGGTGAGAGGGGTGCAGTTCATTGTTTGTGAAGGCAGAAGTTCTCTGCCTCTCACCCTACTCTGCACCAGCACCCCCAGAGTCTCGCAGGAAAGGCCAACGGCCAAGCTGGGCTCTTTGATGAGCTTGTTGAGCCACTTAGAGTCTCTGGAGTCGAGCTCTGTAGGGTTTTCTTTCCCAGATTAACTATACTGTCTGAGTGAATTTTGAAAGATTAAACTGAGGCTGGAATACTGGTAAAATACTCATTTTAAATTAATGATTAGATGTGCTCAGTTTTACTATTAAATTAGTTTTTTTTTTTTTAAACTTAAAAGTATCTAGAAAAATTCGCTTATTTCACTGGATGTCACAGACTGTCTCTGGCCGTTTTGCAGTGATGCATTTTTTTGTCCTTTCTCTGCGCTCCCAGGTTTATTTTTGTTAGTTGTGCAAAACTGGCTTGAATTTATGCAGCTGTTCCTTTTGACAGCAACAAAATAGTCAGCTGTATCAATCTGACATGTTTATCAGCACCCTGTACTGCCTTAGCACATACCCCAGCGTGCCCGGTAAACATGAATTTATAACAAAACAATGTGAATAATATGAATCATAATCAGGCATAACTAATCAAATCTGACATCTAAAAACCATGCACAGTGGAACGGAATGGAATAGAATAGGAGAGAGTAATCTGCAGTGTTTGTGTACGTCTGCATGTGAGTGAGTGAGTGTTTCTCTGTGCTTACCCACCACTTGTCTACTTATGCAAATCTTGTGTTGAAAGCTATTAGTGCGTGCCCTTCTTATCGCAGGAAAACAAACACACATGTATGTACACTTGAAAATCAGACACTAACGCACAAACTGGCACAGACTGTACTGGACTGAGCACGTACTGTATAGGACACACTTGTATTCACCCCCCCCCACTTACCTACTGTAAGCAGCCGATGAGGTAGTTGTATGCAGCACAGGCACGCACAGGCATACCTAAAGCCTAGTAATGAGATTTGTAATGTGCTTATATCCTTTCTTTCATTCGACGGAGGGATTGAGAGAAGAGAGGGATTAGGCCTGTATTATCACACTCTGTGGAGGGAGGGACAGGGGCACGAAAGGAGAAAAGGGGTTATGAAAGCATAAGAGAGAGGGTTTGGGCAGTGTATAATCCCTATATGTAGAGAAAATGGTGGTCAGGTGGACAAAGTGACAGGATATGGATAGATAAATTAGAGATAGATATAATGGGAAAGAGGATGGAGGATGGGGAAGGCAGCTAGAAGGTCTATTACTTTGTGCCCCCCACTGAAAAGAGAAGGGCAAAGATCAGGATGACATTGTCACATCTCTAAAAAATCACATCTACAGATAAGGAGAAAGAGGAAGAATTATGAGAAGAATTGCTCTTTAGGAGTTCCCTCCACACCGAGGAGGGAAGGGAGGAAATGCACTCCTCAAAGACAGGCTGAGGATGTCCTGACAGAGCCTGTTAAGTCCTCAAAGGCCATTATATTCTAATTAGGATTTGTAGTCGAAAATGTTCCCTCTGAAGGCTGATTGCTGGTGGTTCATCGATGGTGTAGAAGTACACCTTGTTCCAATTATTGTCTGGATTTATTTAATGGAGGACATCTAGAGGTTAATCACCAAATGCCTCTGAGCTAGCTTTAGGAAGAATGACTAATAAAAATGACAGACTGCTTTCCCCCTCCCATTTTTTGTGCTGTATTTCCATTCTTAGGATTAAAGTAGAAGGGTAGTTTTTAGTACAATATGCTAAATCTGTTCACAAATGGACTTAATGTCTTAATCATTTCTATTCTTTCTCTGCCTGTTTCTAGTTGATGCTTTCATTATCAATCTTCAAACAGAAAGGGATGTTGGCTGTACCTCTTTATTTTGTTTTACTTTTGTTTAGGTCCAAAACTCATTTTCAGGTAGCTTTAAAAGGAGTCATAAAGAGACAAAAATTTGGCTTTCTGAAACCTGAAGATACTTTGGATTTTCTTCAGGTGTGTGTACTGCAAATTAAATTTTCTTCTTTGTTCTTCTTTGTTCTAAAAAAAACATTTATTTTCAATTGTTGTTTCATACCTCCCAGAAAACTATGTGGAGGAAAACAAATTCAGTACTGCCAGTCAAAGGTGTTCCAGCAGGCTGTATTTTAGTAGTTGTCGTAGATAGCAACAATAAATAAATGCAAATTTAATGTAAATGCCATGTTGCAGTGTTAGAATGGAATATCTTATATGAAAACAAAAAAATATATATAATATAAT